AGCACGCGAGGATCGAGGAGGAAACCAGAGCTGGCCATTATCGGGGTAATTGATCGGTCAAATAACGAATCCTGGAGGTTTCTCTGGACACTCTGTAGGAATTAACGTTGCAAGGAATCTGTTCGCGTTTGGGTAGCTACGATAGGAATGAAACTCGATTGTCGAAGTAACGTAGAAGCTTGTCGAATTGCTAAATCCATCCACTAGGTTGTCTCGAGTGAACATTAAACGCTTTAAATGGTGTATTTATTTCGCCAAGCAAGTCTCGGTTACTTGCAGTAGATTTAAAAATACTTGAGAAAGTAACACCTGTACGGTGCAATGCCCCTCCACGCCTTCGTCTAACTCCTCCGCTAATCCTTCGGTATGAAAAATTAATTTCCAAGTCAGAAGCACGAACGTTACAAAGCGCGCAAGCTATTTTTGTATATTGAAAGCTCCAAAGCCCGAAATGCGACTAAGCTCAAGGCACCGTGCAACGCAAGAAAAACGGAGATTTGCCTCTTAGGAAAAGCAGAGAGCTTAGATGAATTCTAAGTCTGCGCCGTTTTTCAGTCGCGAAAGGTAAACCAAGGTATCCGTTACGGTGGCGATTTGCGAGGATATTTCGCACAGGAAACGTTGTCGCTTGGCAGACCGATGAAAAAGGCACTTTAACGAGTCCTAATAGGATTCGTACTGTCGTGGATTTCCTAAAGCACCCGGAGGGGATTCCGGTCAAAACGTCGTTAGTCGACCGAGATCGGACAAAACAGAGTTGACCGTTCTCGACAGGACTCGTGAACCACCACCGGATCCTTTCGTGCAGGACCGCAGGCAACGGTAGGTGTCCTGCGTGAATGGTTAGTCGAGAGCAGGGACGTTCAGTGACTAAACGATGTTTGTCCACAATACGATAAACGTGTTTCGAAGTATCCTTTTCCGGAGAAACGAACCATTACTCTTCCTTATTTTTCACTCGGTCCCCATCGATATTTGTTTCAGCCCTCAAGAGCCTATTATGAGCTCCTCAGAATTCGTAATGCTGAAATCATCTCTATCAATACAGTCCAAACGCCAATAATAAGAATATTTTGTTCTGATCTTCTTATAAGGAACCACCTCGTCCTCGCTTGGACATGTTATTCGGCTGCAACCTGTATATTAATTTCTCAAACTACTAGATATATCGCCCTCAGGGGCTGTGGAATGCGCATACGCAGCTACAGTACGGGTTTAGCGATCCCGAGGTACCCGAGCTGTAGTGAGGCCAGTGGGTCCCAACAGATATACAAATGAATGCAAGAATGTAGGAAAATTTACCAAACATATTTTCTATAAAGAATACGTACATAAATAAATTCGAAAAAGAAACGTGCTTCTCCTTCGAACCGTGTAAAATTACAGAACCTAGAAAGTCAAGAAACGACTGGCATTGGTCCTTGGCGGTTTAAGAAAAAAGCTCGATTCTCATGGAAAGAAACCAGAATCCGTATGCACCACCTCCGGTGCCTCAGCGCGAGCTGTGAGATCCTCCTTGCGAGTTTTCGCAGCGAGAAGTCGCGTCCCGTCCCGTGTCCCTTTGACCTCCTCGCGCAGCAATGGGTTTTCTTCGCTCGTTGGGACCGGGACGCTTAATAATCCGGCCGTGGTAATCGATTACCGGTGACGACGAACGGACGTCGCGGCGGCGGCGTTTCACATACGGCACGGCGACGACGATTCGCACGTCGGCGTGCAAGCGCGCGCTGCCCAAGAGAGAAGAGAAACACGCCAACGAGCGGGATCCTCACGACATTCCGCCGGGGCATTCGATTAATGAGATTGAGTGCCAGTTTTCAGCGCTGCCCCGCGGATCGGGCCCACGGAATTCAATTAATCGTCGCCGCGTTCCTGAAATATCGGGAATACCGCCAGCGATCTTTCTTGCCCGGCGCGGAGCGTTCGAACGTCATAATTCAATTCCACGGATAGCCTGAATTTCAACGGGCTGTAATACTCGCCGTGCGACCCGTGTAAACGGGTGATGGATGGCGTCGATATGGGGAATGTCGTCGTAAACCTTTCAGATCATTTCAAACCACGCGCATTGTCGCAACCAAAATTGGTAAAGCAAACACGACTTGGAGCCTGTCAATCTCACAGAGGAGTCCATAATAATTGAAATAATAATCGAATTCAGAGCCAGTTACTTCCAAGTGGAACCTTATTAAGAGTAACAAAATACGCAAAAATAAACCTACTGGTCTCTCGATCGATTCCACTTACGAAGCTTCTGCGATGTCGACCCTGCACCAGTGGGCGCAGATTTTTTCCCGGTCGCGGTCTCTCCACGATCATAAATAATTTATCCGACTTTCAGCGGACTGAATTGACGTGAAAGAGCTCGACGGTATGTCCGTCGATGTGTAGCAAACACGAGAGGCGCGGCAAGCGTCGTCGGATTCGTGATCAATTGGCCGAATATAATACGGATGTATTTACGCGTCCGTCCGTCGATGCGCCAGGTTCGCCTCGTTTTGTCTGCCATAGTCTCTTCCCTGTGTGCCTGCTCGTTCATGCAGAAGCCCTTCACGAGGAGGCAGATGGGGCTAATATGAACTCGATTCTGCCCCCGAAGATATGAACTCATTCTTTCGAGTGCACGAAGGTGTCTACCCATCGACACGGAAGGAAACAAGATTTATCGTTCTGCTAGTCGAGAACGAACACCTCTCGACGCACCAAACGGCTCCTTGCGATGCCCTTGAGCGCCCAGGGTTGCCATAGTTGTCAACCCTGTGACCTTTGACGAAAATTCGGTCGAGAAGAGAATCGCGTACGATCCAAGCCAGGAAGCTAGGATACAAAAATCCAATGAACTCTTGGTCGTTTTTGGAATTTCGTATAATCCTTGAATCGTTTCAACCGTGAACAATTGTCGGAAGATCGTTCCAGGGACATTTGCCATACTTTGATCACCGGTGACAGAAAGTCGAGAATCCCAAGATCGGCCATGAATAGTGACGCAATTCTTACGATTCCCGATTCGAAGGTGTGTTTCGTGTATCGTGTTCAGGCCTGGTTCTCCGTTGAACCGATACCGTCATCATCGACTATCTGGCTCGTAAAAAAGGAGAGGAACGAACGCCGTAGGACACCGGTCGAAATGTAGCGGACTTTCCCAGATTTGTAGCCGCTTCTACTACCCGGCATTATCTCGATAAAGTGAAATCGGTCGTTAAACGAGAAAGAGACGCGACCACAAAAAGCACCGAGCTTCGAAGCAGCGTTTCCCAAACTGTACAACGCTGGACGTGAGAAAATACACCTTGGAAATAGTAATCAATGATTTTTTAAAATAGTAGTATTTTATGAAACAATGTAATATTAGTTTTCATTGTACCCAGGTACACTGGTGAAAAAGTAGCACACTAAGGAAATTAATTTTTATTTCTAAACAAAAAAAAAAAAAAAAGAATCGATTCAATGTCTATTATTGTTCATTTTGTGCAACGAAGTGTCGTTTAATTATTTTGTGTGAAACAGAGTGCTCCATGACTAAAAATGTTTGGGAAACGCTGCTCCGGAGGCTTGATGGGGTCAAGGCGCGGGTAGAGGGGTCGAAAGGAAACAGCCATAGATACCATGGAGGGGGATAGAGGGGTAAGAAGAAGGGGAGAAGCATCGAGAGCAGGAGGAGAAGAGCTTTACGTTCGAAACCAGTTTCTATGGTTTAATTTCTACGGGTGGACATCTTCTTTAATTTATGGCGCCGTCCAACCCCGTCCTTCCTGCCCTCCTACTCTCCCCTTTGAACGAACCTTTCGACATTTTATTGGGTCGACCAGTTTCTGTAACCCGTCGGATTCCTCTCGTGGCCTCCACCGCGAGAAAGATTCGAACGAAATCGGACGTCCTCCGATCGAAGGACCCCCTTGGCTCCAAAGGTGAGCAAAATTTCTATCCAGAACAGGGATTTTATTCGTCACTCGTAGAGCATCGATTAAAGTTTCAATTGTATAGTTAACCCTTTGCACTCGCGAAGTGACTCTCAGTCACCACTACGTTTGACGCATTTCGTCCACATCATCTTTCTTGAGAAGCACCTTGAATTTTCTTATGGTTCGGGGGTGATGACCCTACCGTCATTTTGGCACTCCTCGCCTTTGGTCCACTTGTTATTAGCCATTGTTTAACTTATCACCCCATTTCGCAAGATTGAATCGTTCCCATTCCCGGTGGAGGCGACAAGATCAACGATTCCGCGCCTCCGTCTGCAACGGCACGGAGTTCCCGTAGTGTTTATCGGATCTGTACGTTAATTGAACCAGCGAGCGGGTAATAGCTATCATTACGAGCGCTTACGTCTGCAGGCCAGCAACTAAATTATATGGGTGAACCGCGGTGTGGATACGTCGCGGTTTAGACGTGCGCGTGCACAGTCTGTTGTTGAAGCAAGAATCTGTTATGTTGTTCGGAGGAGATACGTTTATTAAGGGCGACCAAGCTGGAAAGAGTAAGAATAAAGTGCGCGAGAAAAAGAGAGGACACTCCTTGAAAGATTAAATACGTGTCAGTTGATTCGAGAAGTATATTTGTTCTCCATTCTCGCAAAAGAATCACGACGATCTCGACGCTATGGATTGTGTCATTTTCGGAGACGTTGGACGTACAAATTATACAGGCATCTACACATTTCTCGCTTTAACTGGACGACTTGATAGAGCACGATTCTTATTTTGTAGAATTGAGAATCGAATTTCCAAAAATAAAAAATGTAATGACTAGAGACTCAGAGGCTGTAACGATCGATGAAATCAAAATTGAATTCAAATAATAATCCACAAAAATTCATTACATCATCGCGGTATCGTCTTCGAAACCCAAAGGTCGATAAAAAAATTCCTCGAGCAGTTCCAGCATCGATCGCGGAGGGAGCTAAGCGAAAAAGAAAACGTTCTCGCGTCCTTAGCCAACGCGATTAACGCTTCAGTGATCGGCTGGTCGTTTCTCGGGTAAGATAAGACCAAGCCGACGATCGGTTCTCCACGGGGGCTTCGCTAGCACAAGACACGAGGAACGACGGACGTAGCAAAGAGTGGTGGAGCGAAAGATCGCCAGTAGTGGGAAACGGATGGGTGGCACCGGGCCAGCTGGTCTTCTGGGACCGCTTGTGTCCTCATTGGCTGAGAGATCGGGCCTGAAGAAGGCCGATTGGCGGATCGAGGGACAGGCGTGCACCGATGGGCAGGCTTGACTGGCCCCGTGGCACACGGGGGAAAATCGGTTCCCGTCTGGTACACCGTGGCTCTCCTTAGGCGCCTTCGATGCAGTCGAACAGGTCGCAGCGATCGCGAAGCGCCAGTCCTCTCCCGTCCATCGACGTGGCCGCACCGTGACTCGTGGACGTTCGAGAGAGACAGACAGAGCCAGATCGAGGAAAAATCGTTGGATCGAGGACAGGGCAGAGAAGGAGAGAGAGACGGACCGACCGTAGGAGGAGGAGGACTTGGAGCAGGCCGCCACGGTCGAGGATCGCGTGGATCAGAGCACTCGGGGGCATTCGACGGATTTGCATCGAGGGGAACGGTTACGCGAACTCAGTCGCGTGTCCTTCGAGGGGGTGAATCGGTCCCATCGAGGTGAACGATCCGTGGTCGCGGTATTCACTTCCGGAAGAATCGTGCACCAGCTCACGTTGCCCGTGTACACGCCACGTGACCGAAGTCAGGAGGACAGAAACGTTTCGGAAGTGTGTGTCCGGGGATCGAACGATTTTTCTTTTCGAGATTCCCGCTCTCCCCGTGGAGTTGAAACTCAAGTTATGGTGTGTAACGTGTGACAGAGGACTCGGACGTTGTCGCGGCGAAGACGGTTAATTTTTTGTTTGTGGGTGAGCTGAGACCACCGGTTTTGGGCCGCTTGTGTGGATATCGTCCGGAACTGCGAAGGTGAGTGCGATTGTTCGTATTCGATCCTACAACAGTGATTCTTAAACTTTGCGAGGTGTCATGCCATCGTTTAGATTTCATTTTTGTTTGATATAATCAATAGTGTATATAATCAATAGCATAGTCTTTGACAGGCTAATTCAATGTTTGAACTCTTTTAAAATTAGAATTAGTGAAGGTTGTATTATTATTGCATATATAAAAATTCAGAGACCACCTGCCTTTTGGAAAGTGTTTTCTCATTAGACAATTTTTGGTGTATACTAAACAGAGTGCAATTTTCAATGACGTCCATTTTCTGCTAGAGCAGCTCAGTTAAATTTAAGTAATTGAAACAATAAATATTCGATAAATCATCAGATTTACCGCCATTGAGAAAATTGTACAGCGGTGTGCGACTCCGCAGAGACTAAGAATCACTGTTTTACCATGACTGCGTTTCCCATGCGGGCATCGATGTCTCCCCAGAGCAATTATCGCCGACCCATCGTTGAAGTCTCCCAAGTCCCCGAATTCTCTTTTACCTGATCGACCACCTCGGGAATAACATGCTCAACTGCTTGACATTTTTCTACGAAAATAGAACGCTCAGACTGCCCTTTATTTTTGTATGAATTTCTTTTACACGAGGTCCAAGTTTGCAAAGGCGACGCGCGATTTGTCTTACGTACACGGCACCGGCGTGTTTGAGACATTCGTAAGAGAAAAACGAGGGGCTTTAAACGAGAATTGGCGGCGAGAAATTGTAGGTACAATACGAAGCATCGCGGAAGAGAGTAGGGGGTGAAAAAGGCCGGCTAATGATAGTTATAAAAACTAGAAAATAAATCACGCGCGTTCAGCCAGTAATCACCGGCGTTTCGTCAATCTTACAGTCCATTCACCGCTCCATTTATCCCTCGTAAATTAAAGTCTACATCCAAAGTGGCTGCGTCGCTCGCGATTATACCACGGCGTGAAATTGATAATGCAACCTAATAGCGGCACAAACACGCTTGACCATTAAATATACCCTTTCGACTGGCAAATTTTGATTGGAATATAATTACGAAGTCGTGAGATCGTGTGTACTAGAACCGCGAACAACGTTGTCGCACCCAGCGAGAAAATTCGTTCTAATCCTCACCTATTCGTGACTCATTGGTGTCTTGATCTATCGATCTCATTCCTAATTCCACTTATTGTACTCTTAGTGTTAATTCGTAGTATTGCCACATGAATAAGAAACTTTATATCAAATAGTAAAGCTACGAAAAATGTGGGATAGTTTTTAGCTCAGCTAACTTCAGAGAGTTAATTAAACACGTCCATAAATCCTTGGAGAGGTATAGATCGATAACGAGTGTCGTGCCATGCATAAATTGAGAATGGTATGCTTTTATGGCGTAGGTTTATAGACATAAATACAGGGAAAACATATGCATAACGTATTCAGACTATATTTTACGAAATATATAATATTAATATTTCACGTTACCTAAGCGCATATATTCGCTATGCGTTTGCCATGCTTATGCTTCTCACATTTGCATAGTTACGCGTAAATCCATAAAATCCGCGGTCTAGTGGAACAGGGAATTCGATTAATTTTAACAATGCAGAGTACCTGACATCGATGTTCTAAATAAAAATGCAACAGTTCTCCCATCTTGCATCGATGGTCTTGGTCTCTGTTCGGACGAATGAGACGATCAACCGCAAACTTTGTGTGCGTTCCCTCTGTTGGTCTTTCCAATGGTCGCCTTTCTTCGCGCTCTGGAGTACGCAGATCCCTCGCGTGCGGTTGGCTGGGGTTAGTCGTAAATGAAAACATTATCGTCACCCCTCGCGGCCGCCTGTTGCTATAATATTTGCCTACTGGTAGACAGCGCCGTAATTCGGGCCAGTACAATAGCCAACACTTTTGTCGTGGAATAAAGCCGAGCAAGAGTCACGGAAGTGAACGCCGCAAACACGTGTGCAACGCAGGACGATAGAAGAGGAGAAGGAAAACGGGCTCGAGCATTACAATTATTATGCATAGGTGCCAGGCTCGGGTTCTCCCATGTCAAAATATATTTATTGCCTCCCTCCTTCTCCCTGCCGTCTGCCTTCTCTCTTTTTCACCCTGGTTGCGGTGTGTCAGCCACTATTGTTACCCTTTCATACGGTTATTACCCACTTGTACATCGGAAGACGCTGGCAGGGCTGAAGAAGGTGCGTTTTCGTTCTAAATGTTCTATTTTCATCTAAGAGCAACTCTTCTTCGTTTCGTATGATCATTCAAAGATTAATCGTGAGAGTATCACGAGGTCGTTGTGACTGCATTTAAAATATTCCTCGTCTACCTTTTGTTTTTACGGGACTCCGAAAATTAAGTCTTCTCGACTGTAGTCCTTCGAAGATGATTAGGGTACCTAGAGAACGATTTCTAGAGATTCTTCAAGCGTATTTAATAATTTCCTTGTCTCGAGACCCAACCATAAGATTACTTCGCACATTAAAGTTGCCCAAGTGCGTTTTAAGGTCGTGTTCCTTCAAACCAATTCCATTCGAACCGTAATTCCGAAGATTGCTGCACTCTCCCAACCAGTTTTAGGAGAAAGTACGCAAAAACCGATAGAGTGCGCATAGCTGAAAAAGATCTACTTTGTCGGAGAAAGCGCGTACACAAACAGCAGCTTTAAATTCCCATGTGTAGAGTACACGGCTGTAAAGGTTGCGGAGAGTTCTTCGGCGTTCAATTAACCTTAATCGTAAGTTCGGACGCTCCTTTCGAGCCTTGGCGTTCGTATCGGCCGAATAATCAACGGCTCGGATCCCTTCGTCGCGATATTGCGTTCCCCGCGTAAGCCGCCTAAGAATCGCCGATCCTCATTTGCATATTAACCCCTCGAGGTTGGGCGCGGGGTCGCGATCTGACTTAACGCCTTTTTGCCGTCGTCGTTTCACCCTCCCAACTCCCCTCTCATCACCGAAATCGTAAAACTCCCGGCAAATATACGTATTATCTCCGTTTTTTCTACCTGGGGAGAAACGGAAGCGTCGGTTGAAACGGTTCCATCGAATCCTAACCTTCTCGGACCGGGTCACGTCGCGACGACCTCTCATTGGTACACAGACAGTAGCGCAGTGGTTGCTTTGCAAAAACTCTACCTCTGCAACAATCTAAATTAAAATTTGCTTCTCTTTTTTTTGCTGTCGGTATGTACGATTATATAAATGTAATTCCTGAGTGATGCAATATTAATTTCTTCGACGATTACATTATGTAGAATGAAACTTTTTAAGGATAAATATGATTCTTGACATAAAACATGACGCGTTACACAACAAAAAACATTACTCCGGGGTCTCCTGGCTGCAACGTTTCTCTCATAATTCTCCATGTTGCATTAGTGCCAACGCACTTGTAATGTACTTGGACGGTAATTGCAGGTGACATGTACAATTTCAAGAATCTAATTATTTTGTAGTCCAAAGTAATTTCAAAGTTCATGTAGGACTCGATGACAACCAGGTCTGAAAAGGTTAATCGTGATTAATGATTATTCGTTAATTGCTGGTGGTGATTACTGGTTAACCGAGTAATAGTAATCGTGGATTTCGCCTAATATGCGGCGGAGGACATGGCGCGTTTTCCAAAGGCCTTTATCGCGATGCTGCGTTCACCGAGACGTTTAACGGTACACGGTCCGTTACTTTTCTAATCTGAGCCGATGCACTTTGTTCAAGCCGCGATAATTCGCGAGGTACAGGGAACCACACTTGACGACGCTTCCTCGAGTTTGCATTTGCCGAGAGAAAACGACGGAAGACGTGTCTTATCGTGGCCTCGACGCGGATGAGCGATCGTCGACGGGTAAGAACTGGGATCTATTCCAGTTCTGGCTTGCAACAATGTTCATTCGTTCGTTTATTAACCCTTTGCGGTTCTAGGTCGAGCGAGGCTCGGCAAAAATGTACGAAAATTAAAGAACCAGGACCACAGAGGGTTAAACTGGTAAAGATCAAATAGTTTTGCTTGGATTCTAAACACCCATGCCTCGGACTATACACCGCCCGTCGCCTCGCTCCAACGCACCGAGGATGAATCCCCATTTCAAGAATCACAATCGTTTCAAGAATTGGAAAGTGTTTCCACTCCTAGGAATGGAAATTTCTCCTATACACGGCGGAGACTGCTAAATTGATTCCGTTAAATAATCGTTCGCCGTCATTGACGGATTACCAGAATGGAGAAGATTCGCCGCGGCTGTTCGAGACAAAGATCCCTAACGAAGTTCAGAAGTCAATTTTCCACTATTGGAGGCCCATCTTTCGTCCGAACGTTCCATCGCGTCTCTCTTCCGCGCTGTTTTAGACGTTGTTAGAAGTCTCGACTACCCGATGGGTCAAAGATCGCTTGCCACGGTGGCTGATGGTTTTATTTTGCGAAACGTCGTTACGTTGTCACGCACGTGCGCTTGGAGGATAATATTGATGGGTCAGCCCACGTGTTTCTTCTCTGTCTCTCTCCCTCCTCGTCCTCTCTCCGTCCTCACGGTTACTTGTAATGTGTCCTGAAACCGCAGCGGTAACTCGGTTAATCCCGCGGATATACAATTTATTTTCGTGACGCTAATTCCTCCGTAATCAGAGACGTAAATTATGGGAGAATTAGCATTCGCGAATGTCGGACACTTTTACGAATTTCATTCAAGTTTCTAGTAATGGAGCACACTGGGACAAGTTTAACGAAGTTTAATGGAAAAATGTATCAATTTCACCGTACCGTAGGGTCGAGCCGCTGAACGCATACGTGACCATAATTATGTCCAACTCTTCTCTTAGCTCCTCTGTCGCACTCAGCAGCATCATCGCGATTCTCCTTTTTTAAGTTAGACTTCCAAGTCTAGGATTAGGTTGCGAAACAACCGTCACCGTTTCTAGCCGCGGTAATAGAGCGAACGTACTCGCAGCCCCTCGACTCTTCGCGAGCATAACAAATCCCGCGACGGATTCCCACAAGTGGCAAGGGT